TCCTTCCTTCCTTCCTTTCTCCCTCCCTCCCTCCCTCCCTCCCTCCCGCCAAAGCAGTGATATGCTTTTCCTTAGATTCTCGGACTTCTATTCTCTTCTCTGAGAGTTTTGCTAAAATACCTTGTTTAGGTTTATTTCACTCATTGAGGAGAAATTCTTATGAAGAAATTCTTTTGACATTGGGCTGGTTCCCCAGTGTAGTGTGCAGCCCTGGACCATTATTTTTAAATTAACTCCCTGACAACCCTTTCCTCTGTTCCCCAATCGGAACAGTGGAAAGGTAATAACGTTCACTTAATTTGCTCTTCTCCAGGATTGGAGGATATTGTAAGAATTCTTGACATTTTGTGAGCTCCACCACTATTATGTTAAGTACGAAGAGGGTGTCAAGATGGACTAGGAACCTAGCCACACTTGTTACTAGTCTTTACTCCAGAATTTAATGTTTCTATCTCAGACTATTTGCCATTTGTTGTTTTTTTTTTCTTTTTTAAGTTTATGACATTGAGTTTTCCTCCTTTCTGTTTGTTTTGAGGCTTTTGTAGGTGAGGCTTTTTGTTTTTGCTGTTTGTTTCTTTTACAGTTTTTGATCCATATGACTAAATATTAGAAGAGAGAAAGTCTCTCAAGCATTTTTATCCTGCCACTTTAATTCTGTAGGAATCAATGAAGATATGCTTTGTAAGACATGCTGTGTAATTCGTCTAGTGTGACATGAACTGAGCCAATTGGGCCCTCATTTCTTTTATTTTTCTTGTGTACTATTCAAGTTTATTAAAATTGATGTTCCTCTAAGCTTCAAAAATATAGTTTATTAGAACTCTGTAGTATTGAAGAAATACTTAAAACTACATTGTTTCAAACTTAAATTTTACAGAACATAGATAATCTCAGAATTCCCTCTTTATTGTGTATTTCTCTCACAGGTTTAAAAGAGAGATTGGAAATCAAGCCAGTAAACCTTTGAGTTTTAAGTATGCTGATAGATTATAATCTTTGGAAGTTCTTGGCTTTCTTCCATGTAAGGAAAATCACATTTATATGTAAAGTATATAAAAATACAGGAAGATACACTCTCACTTTTTTTTGCAGTATGCAAGCAGTCATTATCGTTTCCTTATATAGATTTTAGACTTTTGAACTGAAAATTCTGATTTTTCAGTTTGCAGATATGTTAAGAAAATCAATGATCTTTCTGGTAATGACTTATGATTATTCTCTGCCCACTGATTTCATTTTTTTTTTAGACATAAAACACAATTAACTGTCTTCTTTACTGTTGATGCAAATCATAAGTCTCAAGATCTGAAGAAAATTGTGTGTAGTTGTTTAATAATTTGTAAATTCAATCAATTTATGTTAAATGTGACCTGAAGATTATGTGTCCTATCTGTAATCTAAATTCTTAGTCTTTATGAAGCTTCTGTGTAACATATAAAGACACATACACACACACACACACACAC